AAACAAAAAGAATCATAACTTTTCTTTCTATTTTATCCTTTACAGCCGACACTACATGACCAACAACAGTCGTCGTTAGCCAATCCGACTGTCATCCACAAGCACCTCACAAAACTTTTTAAGGGAGTGTTCTATACTATTATACCTCAATTTCTATTATCTCCTTTTGATTATTTATCTTAGCATTGAGGATAATGTTTATTCTAAAAATGTGGGTGAGGTAATTGAAAATTTTATGAATTCATGCATACTTAGCATTTTGGTTGTCAAGATTGAGCTTGTTGTTGAATTATTGAACTTAAGTATTGGAGAATTTTGATATGATAGTTAAAATCCTTTATTTCAATCTTATAGGTCTAGTATATTCCATAGATTTCATTTTCATTCCAAGTAACTTAAATTTTCTGAAAGATTTTAAATTTCTTTTATTATATTGATATAGTGATTAACATTTTGAACATCGTAAGTTGTTTTAGTTTTACTTTTTACTAACTTTTGTGCTCCTTATACTTTCTTAGTTGTCTCATTTTCTTCAAAAAAAGAAGAAAAATAGGAAAAAAAAGAGAGGCACTATAACAACTTACTCCGCATATTACTCAATTTTACACCACCAAGTGGCGTAGCTTAGCAATTCGACGTTATATTAACTTAACCACAGGTCTTAAGATCAAGCCTTTGGAATGCACCTGCCTCAAAAAATAAAATAGTTGTTATGAGTAGAACTAGTAGTAAAAAAAAGAAAAACTTACTCCGCTAATCACTCAATTTTACACCATCAAATGGTGTAGCTTAACGGTTTGGTGCTATGCTAGTTTAACAAGAGCTCTCAAGTTTGAGCCCTAAGAACGCAACTGCCTCTAGTAGGGAGGGCTTACTCCTTAGTGGACCGATTTGGCTTGAAAAATAAAATGTTGGCTATGGGTAGAGCTAGTAGCCACCTAGAGTTGTGATTAAGTGAGTAACAGGGTGCTGGCATCACCAATGTCCGCCCTCGCATCACAACATTGGATGACACTCTAGACAAGCCAATAAGGTGCTAAATATATATATATAACAACATCAAAGTAAAGAAAAGGGGTCAATTTTGGAGTTTAGAGGGCATAATTGTTAATGATTTGTAGTTCTTATATGATTATGGAAATATGAGTCTTTTCTTCCATGTTAAAATAATCTTTTCATTTCCTAGCTTTCATTTAATTGAGTTTCTATGGGATTTTGATGATTGAAGTTGAGTATGAGACCTATGCTATTGAATTTAGGAGTTTAATTTATATTTTACGATGATTTTTCACTTTGGTTTAATTTTAATTTTACTCAAGGCGAGCAAAGAGCTAAGTGGAGGGTGTTTGATAATGGTGTATTTTATAGACAATCAGGGTTTGTTTTGGCTTTAGTTTTTGTTAGTTTTGAGTCATTTTTATCAATTTTACATTTAATTTTAATTTATTTTAGTCACTTTAGTTTTTTTTATGAATTTTAGGTGATTTTGGGAGCATTTGAAAAGTTTTGGATGAAGACACAAAAAAGGCAGAAACCTACATTGGCAGATGCATGCTCATGCAAGTGGTGATGCACATCAGTCTTAGAGTCTCCATCTGCATAGAATTTTGTAGACAGAAATCTGCATGGGCAGGTGCATGGTCATGCAGATGGTCATGCGAGAAAGGCATAATTTTTGGGTTTCCTAAATGTCTTAGGATGGTTTATTCTCTCTCCTATTTCACCTAGGATTTTTATTTAAAAAATTTTGTTATTTACACTTTTATATATATGATATATTATTAGTATTCTAGAGGACTCTTTTATTTTAGACATTGTTCTAGGTTAGGGTTTTTCCTCTTCTTCTTCTTGGAAGACTCAAAACTCCATTGTAGAGGAGATCAAACTCAAGACAAAGATACAATCTTGAGTTTGATTTTATTTTACTATGTTTTCTTTTAGTTTCAGTTCTTGCTTTCTAGGTTTAATTATGGAGTAGATTTCTTTTGTTAAGAAAAATATGAACCCTAAACTATAATGGGTATAGATTTTGATTGATAATGTCTGAGCTAGTTTTATGCAAAACCATTGAGTTTAATGCTTGTATTGATATTTTGTTGATCTAAATTCCTTAATGATGTGTCAAGTTAATCAATGAGATTTTAATGCATGATTATTAGTATTTTATATAACATGTTAATAATAGATTTGTTCGAATAGATTATCTAAAATTGACTTGTGGCCTTATTTGATACTTATGTAAGTTCTACTGCCTCCGTTCGTAGCTGAAGTTTACGTGGTCCCTCTATTCAGGATGTACGTATTAGAATATGGGTCGTATCTCATCTGCAGTGGATTTTGGAACCCTCCAACAACATTAATATGATGTTAGTTATCTTCCTGAAATGTTGGACACATATCTTTTTGGTGTGCCAAGTCTATGCAATTTCCCTGCAACTATGTTTTGCACCATATGAGTTAGTTTAAAAGTCTGAGACTAAAGGGAGGAGATACTTACCTCATTCACCCTTCTCGAGGCATCATGTGTGGCTCTGAAGTGCTATGAGTTGGATGCCATGATCAATATCAGTTCCCTTGCTTCCTATGGTGTTTTGTTCATTATGGCACACCACTGGCCGCGTCTAGCATTCTCTTTTTTTTGTGAGTAGTCCCTCATAGAAGTAGTGTATGAGAGACTCTTTCGATATATTATGCTATGGGCAACTCACACATAGTCGCTTGAACCTCTCCTAATAGTCATGAAAGCTCTTCAAGTCCTTTTGCCTGATCCCACATATCTCCTTTCTTATCCCAACAGCTTGAGAAGTAGGAAAAAATCTATCCAAAAAGGACTTCACCATGTCTATATAGGTTGTGATTGAACCAAAAGGTAAGTATAACAGTTAGTCCCTGGCTGCATCATCCAAGGAGAAATGGAATGCTCTCAATTTAATTTGTTCTTCAAAGACCCCTTGTGATTTCATGCTCGAACATAATACATGGAATTCCTTAAGATACTTATATGGGTTCTCATTCTCCAAGCCTTTGAATTTGGGTAACAGGTGAATCAAGCCAGATTTTAGTTTGAAACAACGTCCAAATTTGGACAAGCGATGCAGAGAGGCAACTGGTTCGTAGGGAGAGCAGCTAGCTCCTGTAAGGTACATTCATGCACCATCTATCTTAGCTTTGCTTTAATTTTAGTGGTGTGGTACCCTCTTTAAACCCCGCGTCCTACTGACACGTTCGCCTTCTTAGTTTGGTTTGTTTTCTCAAGCTTTTGGCAGTATTTTCTCTCTCCAAATTATAAAGAAGAGGCTCTCCACGATGATGATCTTGGTCATAAAAAGAAGAGAACAAAGTTAGTTTCTGCAATTTCCTAGCAACGATAACCAAATTTGATGGGAGTCGAATCCACCAAATATAAAAGTCATATTCAACCAACAAAATATAATTGTAGTAGTGGTAAACAAAGTCGAATCCTCAGGGAATCAAGAACAACTTCTCTTCTATGACCAACAAAAGTAAGAATAGGGGCTTTTCTTTCAATTTCAACCATAAAAAGAAATAAACTACTAAGTTAAAATTTAAACAAAGAAACAAAATGCAATAAGGGAAACAAGTAGATACAAGAATGACCATGGTTAAAGAAGTAGCTAGATTCTAGTAGTGAAAGTGATCATTGATGCAATGATTGGTTTTACTGAAGTTCAGCAAACTAGTTCTAGCTGTTTGAAATGTTCCAAAACCAATTCTTCCTTAATCTTAAATCAACCAAAAAACACTCGTTAGTTATATCTTGTTGATAAATAGTCCCAGAAATGTTCCTAAGATTTAATCTATCAATAGCTTTGAGAACTAGAAGAACCTGATTCTAGTTGTTAAACTCAATCGCGTGACCTACTCAACCAGATCACCTATTCTTTTAGCTTAGAGACTAATTTACCACTGAGTATCGAAACAACCCAAATAATTACAAATTCGAGATTTTCTAATGGTAGTATATTGCCTTGTCGTGCACCTAACGGACCTCTATTCAAACAATTAACAAGCAGCAATAATAATACGTATAGAGAAATAAGCTAATACCGAAACTTTAATGAAATAAAAAATAAAGTAATTAGATCTCAAAATTCAAATTAAAATTTTCACTAAATTTATAATTGGGAAAAAGCTTTGTTTAGCCGCTCATGATGAGCCAAAATATAGAAAAATAAGAATTGTTTTCTTTTTTGAAAGGAAGAGGAAGAAAACTTTAAAAAAGTAGATTCTCTTACTATGCACGACAGTCCCCCATCTTCTCTTCCTTTTCGTATATTTAAAGCTTTAGAAGATTAGGTTTATTTTTTGTGTAGGAATATCTCCCAATGATCTCAACTTTTTTCTTGCTATCCAAAATTATCTCCTCCTTTATTCCTAACTTTTCCTTCCAAATGTAACATGATTCTTCTTTGAGTTCAAAAGTGCACCTTCTTTAAATTTGTTGTTGCATGAGTCTAAGCCTTGGCCAAAGCACATTCGCGTGTACTTTGTCACTCCCTATACTACTTAGGTATTAGCTTTGCCTAAGGGTTACCTGTGCACTACCCGATCTTCTATTATCACGAGGATGAAAGCCTTACTTGAGGCTTAGTTGTGTGTGAGCCAAAGTCAATTGTTGTTGATGGGTTTAAGCATTAACTGAGGCTTATACCAGGACTAATAGCCACTTCATGAAATTTGCTCTTTTTATGTTATTTTTTTACTTCGATCTTCATCTTCTATCTTGTATTAAAACAAATAAAATAACTTAAATCAAATGGCAAACAATTCAATTAAGCACTCAAAAATAGACGATGAAGATGTTGCTTTTACACATTATCAGGCATGCTTGTCGTGAGAACGCAGAAGCTTGGTGGAGGAAAGAGGATTATTTTTAAAGTATTTGTATTCCAGACAAACTGTTTTAAGTAAAAGCCCATAAAAAGGCCTCACTATAGGTTGTAAAACACACATATCAGAATTCAATAAAGTAAAGCTTTTTCTTTAAATTAGCTTTGGTAATTTTTATGTACTTAAGGGATCTTCAAGTTAGGAGCTTCATATTGTTTTGTTGAGTGGGGAATCGGGATTGACTAATCGGGTAAGTCATAACGTCTTTTTATATTCTTTTTATTTTCCCAGGTACCTGATAAACCTTTAATACGTTGATTATGATTCTAGTAAAGAAGGTTTAAATTAGGTAATTAAATTTTGAATTTCTTAATATAGTGGGTTCATGATCGAGGCGTTTTCGATCCGTGAAGTAATTATTCTCCACCCTACATCAGAAGATGAGGGAGAGAATTTATTTGTTTCTGGAAATTTTTTTCTTATAGGTACTTCACCATGTCTTATCAAAGCACTAACAATAGACTCGTCACTAGTGAAGAAAGAATTATGCATATGCTTACCCAGCTAAGTGCTCAAATGTGAAATATAACTGCACGAATGGATCGCTGGAGTGGGGAGGAAGCCGCAATCAAGCTAGACGTAACGTATTGTAAGATGAAACTGGATCATGTGATGAGGAAGTTAAAAATAGGGGGGATAGAAGATGATAAGGGATGGAAATCTCAATATCTATAAGGCACCAATCTTGCCTTTTCAAGGGAAGAATGATGTTAAAGCCTACCTTAACTAAGAAATGAGAGTCAACCGTGTCTTCAAATGCCACAATTACAGTGAGGAGAAGAAGATCAACCTGGTCACCCTTGAGTTTGCTAAATATGCTTCAGTTTGGTAGGATCAGTTAGTTACCCTCAGGGAGTAAGATGGAGACATAGCAATATCTACTTGGAGGGAGTTAAGATTTATTATGTGGAAAAGGTTTGTACCATCCTACTTTGATAGAGATATGAATATGAAGTTACAACACCTTACTCAAGGGAATAAGATGGTGGAGGAATAACATAAAGAAATAAAAATAATCATGATTTGACCAAAAAGTTGAAGAAAGGCCCAAAACTACTATGGCCCGTTCTTAAAAGGCTTAAACAAAGAGATAGCCAATGTTCTTAAACTATAAAACTATATTGATCTAGAAGAAATGGTACACAAGGCTATCAAGATTGAGAGATAATTAAATAACAAAGGCACTATACAAGGGACAACTATCATTAGCCCTCAATATAATTTTAGGTGGCCCTAAAGGGGAGAGAACAAGCTAAATGAGGAAAAAGAAGGACAAACCACTTGTCACTAACCTAACAAGAAAGCCCAAAGCCCCTGCTATAAGACACGAAATTGTCAAATGTTTAAGGTGCCTAAGAATTAGAAATATTACATCCTAGTGCCTAAATCAACGAGCAATGATTAGTGACCATGCTAGTGAGAGTGAACAGGATGAGCTACCATCATTTGGGGCTAAGGAGGAAAGTATTACTCAACTAGTTCATAGAGATGTGTTTGTCACCCAACGAACCTGGAGCATGCAAGTCAAGTTAGAGAACCATGATCAAAGAAAAACCATATTCCATTCCAGATGCCTCGTCAATAGAAGGTTTGTAGTGTCATTATAGATGGATGAAGTTGCACTATTGTTGCCAGACCTTACTAGTGGATAGGGTGGGGTTAACATACATATCACATGCTAGTCCCTATAAGCTACAGTGGTTCGAAGACAGTAAGAAAATCAGTGTTACTAAACAAGTACAAGTTCCATTTTCTA